GGTCTTCCTGACAGATGCGTTAAAATACACCTCGTACGAAACAGACCCTAACAGACTGTCCCCGGGGCCCGTAGAGTTCTCCCTTAAGCAGTAAGCCTAGCCTTTGTTCGCCCCAAGTTCTAAACTTTTGACAATTCGCTACTACCAGATTAGTACACTCTCCTCGGTCGGGCCAACAATACCGCTGAATGCCAACTTATGGCTAAACCATTTGGCGCGCTTGTCTTCGGTAGGCTTCGCTTTGTTAACTGGCGGTTGCACAACACTGGGTGCTGGTTACCGAAAGGATGTACCCGTACGTGTACTCTTCATTGTCGAACATGTCATTTTCATGAATTGAAAGCACTTAAGCAACCAGCAATCAGAGCGACCTTCTACGCTGGCCGCCATTTGAACAGACAAACGACGTGATATGTGAGTATTGTTATCTCACAACGAGTGCTCTTCCTGACAACCTGTCCATTATGGATCTACATCCGCCTTTGAAGTTTGTTCTACTTCAACCACCTTGCCCACTTGCTGAAGTTCCCTCCCTGAATTACTGTGGCGGCTTCCTGGGCGACAACTCTGTGAACCTGCTCACTGGGATGCGCACGCTACTTGTAAATGTCGGTGAGGAGAGCTTGGGAGTCGAATATTCCTGTGGTGCCGTCGCCGACTCTGTGTAGCTGTTGCCGAAGGTGACCAGATTTTCCATGTGCGTTTAGCGTTTAACGCGGCGGCAACCACCGTCGGGGCCTAGACCGCTATTCGGGGCAAAGATACTGTTAGGGAGTTTTTCATGTCGCCGATTGGTACGTTTTCGTTCTTTTCTCCATCGCCCTCCTTCATTCTACCTCTCATTGGATGCACGTGCGTCAGAAGTGTCAACCCTCTTCGTGTGGTGCTACTACTAGAACCTGAAGCACCAGGCGGTCTTTTCTTCGCCGTTTCTCGACTTTTTCTCGGCGACAAGGAGCTGCAGGGGGGCCGGCGGCCATTACCTGTGCCGCTTCTGCACAAGCATTCCTCGAAGCAAGACGCGCAAACTTGCGCGGCATCATTCTTCGAGTTTGATAAATGGCCTCTTCGAACTTTTTGCAGTTCGCCTCCGACGGAAACGTCGATAATTGTCAAGTCTCCTCGTATAATGCTTTTCACGGCCAGTAATCCGAAAGTTCAACTGGTTCTGTTTGACTTTGACAACTTTTGTCCCGTGGCGATACAGTCTGGCGATCTCTTCACGCTGCCCTCCAGGCCAGCACCCTTGATCAGACTCCTCGAGCTCCTGGCCAGACTGATTTTTTTGTCAAAACTGAGGAACCTATGTATCGGCAACCAACTGCAACCAGTGGGGGGCGATGCGCTTGGTTCTCGGTAAGTATTTTGTTTAGCGAGCGTTGTCATGTACCGGCATTCAAAGTGATCTCGTCTCATCAACCATGCTGTACTTATGTACAAGCGTACTACAAACCATTTCCATCTCATGTGAGAGACGACCGCTATTCGATCACACTTGCATGGCCAAAACGTTAAAGTTAAATCCTCACTCAAGCGCGCCGGTAAGCAGGGAAAGCCGATATGCCTTCAAAGTTCATGCCAGAAGCACCCTTTCCCGGACGCCAGTCCTTCAAGTTCCTTAGCCACACCCAATCTTCATAACCAGCAAATTTCTGTGAGTCCAACTGAACCTGATTATCCAATGGATCTAACTGTGATCGGCATTTCATCCATGCACCGTCTGTTGTCTGGTGAGATCTAGACTTGAGTTCATCTCATTTCAACCTATGATCTATCACCTTGATTAGGCTTTTACAGTCCGTTGCTGCTGCCAAGAGGGGGGAAACCGCCGCCTCGACCACGCGATCGTCATCACGCGAATTCACTGTCTCTAAATCTCAGGGGTCAGATACCGAGTCCGACACCTCCTGGGACCGCGCTGGCGCGCGATCTCTCAGGAACGGGAAATCCCTCGGGTTGGCCCTATTCGACCGTTCCCTTTAAAAGCCGGGGTTGCACAGGTGAAACAACGAACGCACGCCGCCGCGGCCAACTTCTTGAAGATGGCGATCAAGGCAGACCCAGAATTGACGCTGGGCCCTCTACTCATCGGATATTCGTTGGCTACGTTTCTCCTTGGGGTGGAGTCGGTCCAGGTGAGTTATCTACTATTTCCACCCATTTGACGAGTACGCACCTAGTGGCTCAACCAGAAATGACAGCTGTACATGTTTTTTCGTGACTACCCGACAGACCCAAGGGCTCTCAAAGTTTTGGTTTGTGCTCGCCATTAAAACTTACATGCATCTTGGCTTACGACTGTTTCTCAGGTATCGGTGGTATTGTCAGAACTTTTCAAATTCAATTTTTTGTAGAGAGCACAACCCCCTCATTGTCTTCATGGTACCAGGGCGCTCGATACCGCGCATGAGCTATGTACTGTCCACTCGATATTCTGGATCCTGGTCACGAACTTTGGGAACCCGAATCTGTTGAATCAGCCGACGCCGCGGAGCTTCCAATTAACAATCCTTTTGAGCTCGAGTGTAGCCCTGTTGGTTCAAGTGAGTCTGCTGGTCACATCAAACCCCTGAAAAAGTCGTCGATCTTCACACTTGGTAAAGGGTTTTTTCTGCTACCGTTTGTGGAAAACAACGAGAAAAACCATCATTTGCAGCATGATGGCGCTCTTGGTCGTTTCTCGCTTCACAGTCACTGCTGTAGTTGGGGTCTCAGCCTTCTCGATGAAGTCTTTTGGTTCATTTGTCGCGCAGTTCAGGCCGCTCATCACTGCTGCTTGGGTAGGGGGTATGGCATGCCCCTGTCGTTCCTGCTTTCTTTATTCTCATGAAACACATAATAGGCGCTGCTACCGATGTTCTAATGGCAGTTCTCCTTACATGGGATTTGCATAAGCGTCGGTTTGGATTTGCGAAGTGGGTTTGTTCGTGTTAAACATTTGTGGAGCAATGCTGACGAGTGCCTTGCGGCCGTTGAGAACATCAAGGTTGATCGATAGGATTATCATCTGGTGTGTTGGTACGATATCATTGTCATATCAATTTGCTGCTCCGACCTGACATCATTCTGAACATTCCAATAGCCACCGGTCTTTTGACGAGGTTTGTGCAGATTCCTCTTCTGCTATCTTGACACTCACATGAATCACAGCGTCTACGCTCTGACCATGGCCGTTTGCGTTCGTCAGTTTCCTTTTCGCCATCGTCCATACCTTACTGTTTTTGACCCTAGTTCTTGACAATGCCACATAATCGTTGGTGTCGTCTCCAAAGGGAATAAATTTGCGCCAGAGCTGACCCGATCTGTTAGTTGTCTGGGAAATCTTCTACGTCGCCGCGTCTCGTCGTAAGCAGTCGCCTCGAATCATTCAAGAATGGCCGCTGATCGCATTCTAGTCTTCGCCAACACTCTACTTGCGTCGTAAGTGCAGGAAGTTCTTCGACTGGAGTCAGTTTTTCTGAGAGGATTTTTGCGCTTAGACTCAACGCGAGGAGAAGTATTCGCCGCAACGACACACAAAGCACCACCGTCAGCACAACCCAGTTCCTGGCCGCGTTGGAACCCACCGTGAGTATCCAGAATCGCTTCTTCTTCATCTGCTTCTCAAAACATTTTCCAGGTGAACCATGATACTGTCGAGGTCCCGTTGACAGTCGTCGTGACGGAGACGATCACTAAAGACATCGAGGGCGGTGGCCTGCATACTCATGCCATGCACAAGCAGGCATAGGGGAGACGTCGATCTCTGTACACACCCCAGACTGCATCCTTGTGAATAATACTAATTGGAAGTATTGACAAGATAGTGGCAACAACTCTGCAGATTTCAATTTTCACGCCGCTCCAATGGCGTTTGTAACCGAAGGTTGTATTCCGCCCATGCCAATATCGACATTTGTCGGTACACACAAGTATGCCACATATGTCGGGTTGCTGACAGTGATAGGAGATACGTCAACACCAATGTCTAGCCCTACGTGCTTCTTGAAGTGGCCGAGTTAACCTGTAGACTCGAACAAGTTAAAATTTCGAGGCTAGCCTCCTCGAGAGAGACCATGTAGGATCCCTCGAGAAATCGTCTACCTGATCGTTGACGAGTTGAAGGGCGACTCGGACGTTGCCACGCTCCGCCAATGTTCATGCGCCTCTCCCGCTTTTCTTGTCTCCTGCTGGTGCTATCTGTTCGCTTCCATCGGTAGCCATCGCCGGGTTAGCCTAGCGAGCATTGTAATGCAGACATCTACATGTTGAATGATTACTATGCGAGTCCTTTATCATTTCGTCTTCTTTTACTTACTTTACTTATTGTACATGTATGATTCATTCCTGATGTCATGTTTCATTTTATTTCTTACTCATTGTATTATTAACTACGTTGCGCCACTTGTACTACCACCTTTAATCTATCTCGTTGTCCTCCCGTTTATCTTGTCCAACACTACACACTGTCCTTCGGGCGCGGCCCAATTTCCTGAGATTCATCTCTCTCCTCCATAAACTATGCAAGGATGGCTGGACCTCTGATTGAACCGCGACATGTTCAAAATCTGGAGCCCTTGGCTCCCTCGAGTCACTCTCCTCAGAGAATTGCGATTTTAAAACTCTGTCAGAATGTTTCTGGCGACGGCAGACCATCCCCACAACAGAGGTATATGGAACCTCGCATTTAGTCAATGGCATTATTGTTCAGTCCACTGTGTGAAATTCCCTTCGAGCCTTTCGGGTGAAGCCCCGGTGCTGCAATATCGTTACAGTATGCAGGTATTTTTACGGGGAACAGGCTGTCGGCTCTCCCGCTGGGCTGCGGCCTGCCATACCCCCGGCTCAAGTATTGTCGCACCTGGATACACGGGCAATCGGAGGCTTGATGTGTTCTTTCGAAGATCCACAGGATTAGCAAGCTTGGATTTACTAGATAGATGGAGTGCTACCCGCTGCGAACGGTCAAATCGCAAAAGATTGGTAGCCACTAGAGTTCCAAAGGTCACAGCACATGCCATGGGCGTTTAGCGCAGTGGTAGCGCGTATGCTTTGCAAGCACCGTGTACGTTAAAGTGTACTGTGCCATGTGTATAAGGTCCAGGGTTCAATCCCCTGAACGTCCAGCTTTTGCCGCGCTATCAGATAGATATCCCATATGCTCTGGCAGCTCAATCCTTCTTCACTAGCAGGCATCTGAGCTCAGGCTGTGCCTCTTCTATTATTCACACTTCGTGCATTCAATGCCCCAATTTTGGTGCCACAATCAATTCGAGTCGATTCATCAGAAGTACTTATTTATGTGTGAGGGTCAGGTCCTTGGACCATGGTCACTCTACCTATAACACAGTCTATGTTCTCATTCT